TAGTGCTCCTCAATCTTAGATCTATACCCTTTGGTAAACATCAGCCATCCCCTTTCAAGATAATAATGGGATGGCCTATGCAATTAGATGAAGGAATGTATGAACCAACTTTGCTTAAAGGACATCTCTTAATTATTGTCAAGGTCTCATTGAGACATCTAAAAGAAATGAGAGGGTGATAGCTGATTCTTTTCACAGTGAGCTCCCAGGTCATAAAGACCTTTAGGATCATGTGCTACAAGCTGGAGATTTTGTTTATTGGAAAAGACACCAGATAAAAGACTCTTTGCAGCCCTGCTGGAAAGGACCATACCAGGTTCTTTTAACCAATTCATGTAGCACAGCATCAAAAGGCATAGACTCATGGACTCACATTTCTTGTTTGTTGTTGTTGTTTTTTAAAGGGCCTCTCCACCTAAGTGGGTTTCAGTTCCTATTTCCGATACCCAATTTCAACTGAACAGTGCAAATATCTCCAAATCAGGATGAGAAGAAGACGACATCTGTTGTAGGCAGCTGTCCTGAGACTCTGGACCAAGCCTGTATTCCTAACCTTATATCTCCTCATTTAAACTTTTGTAATGCTTACACTGGATACCTATGTTATAATGGTTCCATTTAATGCTTTCAGAATACCATCATACTTAAAGAAAGTGATTGATTTGGAACAGACTCATCTCCAAGGCTAAGCATTTATCTAGTTGCTCCTAATGGAACTCAGTGATTATGTGGAACAAATCTCTGGCCTTGGCTCCTACCTGGATGGCTAAGACACTGTACCCTGAGCTTCCCTTGGATGCAGGGAAGGATTCGCACTGAGCTAACCACTGATGCCAATCTTCTTCTCTCTAAGGCCAGATGGGCTCATTCATTGTTCCACTGGTATGGCCACCTAGTGGCTCTATTTGTTTCTTCGTTGGGGCTAGAAGTTGTCATTATCACATATAGAAGCCCTGACTAGATTTACTCAACGAGACCTTAATGATAGTCAAGCAGGAATAGCCTCATTAAATACTAAAACATTTCTAATGAAAAAGGCTGTCCTTCAAAATAGAATGGGCTTAGATATTCTAACAGCGTCCCAAGGTGGTATATGTGCAGTCATTCAAACTGAATGCTGTATTTTTCTACCTGATGAATCTTCCAATGTGTCAGCTCTACTAAAATGCTTAAAAAAGTAGGTGAACGTCTTACGTGCTCCTACACCCAGTCTTGATTTGTTGGGTTGGCCTCCTTCAGGTATTGGTTCCCTTTTTTGATCCAGATTGAAATTATAATTGCAAACAACGTAAACGTAAGGAGTCAAAAAAATCACATGTTCAATGTTTGTGCGACAACCTAAAATTTATTGAAAAACCTATGAAATACTTCCTCTGTTAATACATACCTCTATGCTTATCCAATATATCCAACTGTTTTTCCCCAGTGTGGACAACTGGGAAAATAAATGAGATAAAAGCCTATCACAGAGGGACATGATGGACCCAGGGCAGGCAGCAACCACCCTGGCACCAAGGGTCAACATTTTGATCATCAATGCTTTCTATCAAAAGATTATAGATCAAAAGGGGCAAAATGATAGATAAATGAAAATCAATAGGATATATTGGACTATACGAGGAAGACACTTGGTTTAAAACTAATTCGGCCTGACCTTGTTTTTCCAAAAGGGCCTGACGTGGCCTGTTGAGTGTGCATTGTGCATCTACCTTAAATATTTACTGTCTCCCAAAGACAAGACTGATGCTCCTAAAGATAGGGATGTAACCTCCCCCATATCAGCATTTCTTTTAGGATAAGTATCTCTCCCCAAACTAAGGATTAATTACCGACCAGCTGTGCTCACCTTGTGACTACTCACCTTGTGACTACTTACCTGCTGTGCCAGCTAAGCATCCCATGACAATTGTAAAAGGGACATTCCTATCACATGTGATGCATGCACTTTGTCCCAAGATGGTATATAACCACTCTGTACACCCCACTTCTTTGGTGCCCTTCTTTCCTTGGGGAAGGAGGAACCCAGGTTAGTCCTCAGATCTGGCTCATAATAAACTCACTCCAATTTTGATCTATAGATTGCTTGTGGATTATTTGCATCGACAACAGCGTATTGGTTATTTTGAATTAGAGTTACTTGAGAATCAAAAAGGGCATTCTGACCCTCCTGTCTCTATTCTCCCTGAAAACAGGAAATAAATCTCCCATTGAAAGGTGCTCTCCCTGCATCCTTATCATTAGAGCTAGGGAATGCAGAGCTGAGAAGTCTGCGTAAACAAACCTTGCTAATTTACTACCACAAGCTTAAACTCTCCTTAAATTCCTCACTAATTATGCACCTCAAATCTAAGCTTCTTGGTCTTGTCATTCCTCAAAAATTTCTTATTTCTTTATGTAAAAGATTTATATACTGTCTGCTTTGTTCACTCTCTGAGCATCATTTATCTATGTATGAACATACGTATGAAACTGAGTGTTTCTTCTGTAAATATGGTCTTGTGTCAATTTTACTATTAGTCCAGCCATAAGAACACAAGAAGGGGAAAAAGGGGAATGTCCCTTGCCTCAACATAGGTATCAAGCAGAGGGAGGGCTTTACAAAGGACACTGTATTCATTTTTTATTTTATATCCAGGGATTCGAGGACCTGTAGGAGATCTTTGGCACACTTTCAGGGAGTTTCTAAATCCCATAAAATTATGTTTGTGATGTTGAGTTGATATAAATAGATAAAACATTTTATAAGAATATTCATCAGGTTGTCTATAAGCATATGACACCCCAAATTAAGAATGGTGAATACAGAAGAAATTATAAAATTGTGCAGAAGATGGAATTAAATGGCTATCTTATAAGCCCTAATATTTGGCTTCTCTTTTCTTAATGGAAGTGCCTGATTTGAGCTTTGGTTGCTGAGGCATCCACTTAAAGACTGCTATCTGGAATAAAGCATTGCCAGCCACCCCACTAGATAAAAAGCCACACTCGCCACTTCAACACATCTTTGTTTTAGGGATCTTCATCGTTTTTTTTGTTTTTTGGGTTTTTTTTGTGAGGAAGATCAGCCCTGAGCTAACATCTGTTGCAAATCCCCCTCTTTTTGCTGAGGAAGACTGGCCCTGGGCTAACATCCATGCCCATCTTCCCCCACTTTATATGGGACGCCGCCACAATATGGCCTGACCAGCAGTGCGTTGGTGCGCACCCGGGATCCCAATCCAGGGCCACTGCAGCAGAGCGAGCGCACTTAACCTCTACGCCACCAGGCTGGCCCCTCTTGGATGGTTTTAATAACTGACCATTGGGCTCCTTGTTTTTTCTCTTCCTGCACTTTAAGTTCTCACTCATATTTTTTTAATTCACTGATAAAGAGTGAACAAGTGACAACCAAGGCCCCCACCCTCAATCTCAATAAAAGCAGAACCAAAGATCTGCTTTCTCTCTCTCTCTGACTCTGTCTCTACCTCTCTCTGGCTTCCATCAGCACATTTGTTATACCATAAAAAAACGGTTAAAAAAATCAGTATATAGATTTGAATGAGAGGATTTCCGATGCTTAAACCTCAATCGGGTTTGCAAGATCAAGGCAAAAGAAAAATTCCAAATTCTGTTGATCAAAGAGATAAAAACCATGATGAGGACAAGGCTACAGAAGGGATGTGGAGAGCTATCCAGGAGACATCGCAGTTCTGCTAAAGAGGAGTGACAATTCCGGATGGATAAAACAAAATTGGTGGAGGGAAGATAATCATTAAATAACGGAAGATAGTTTCCTAAGTTGAACTTCACCTGAACTGCACATCCAAATCATGCCCTGGATGGAAGCAGCAAAGATAAACACAACTATTCTTATCTAGATAACAGTCTTTAACTTCTATGAAAGTTTATCTAATGATAAAGTATGAATTTTGAAAGCTCATGGAGAAAACTAAATTTATTCAAAGGAAAAGCATCATTCTGATACTGGATATTAGTCTCCACAGGGAAAGCTGGAAGACAGAGGAAGGTGAACTGCTGAATGAAAAGAGGTAAGCCCAAGAGTCCTATGTGTGGGCAAAGTAAAATCCAGCAGCCATGCTGAAAAAAAATTATGCAAATGTTCTAACTACATATCACTTGAATCACATCCCCAAGGACTTTAGTCAAACAATGAATTAAATAGAACAGAGACCCCAAAATGGAAAAAAATGATGGAAGATGGAAGATGGTGCTGAAGAGACAACTGTGCAAATTACATCTACTTAAGGCAAATGCACCACAGTAGACATGGAAAGTGTCATGCTATTTCTAATAAAGAATTATTGAAAATGAAAGGACACATTTAATTCAAATTGTCGTAACAGACTAGATCTAAAATAACAAATACATGAGCATAGCATGAGTGGGGTTATTATTATGGAGGGATTTACACAGACATTGAAAGATACACACATGTAATTTAGTGTGCATTAAGGAATGAATCTTTCAGCACTCTCAATTCTCTGCTCTATTTTTTATAGCTCTGTCCTATGCGCTTATATTTCTCCTATGGCACAAACATTCTATATAATCTCCTTAGTAATCATGCCCAGCCCCTAAAATAGTGCCTGGAATATGTAAGGCATGCAATATATATTTGTTGAATAGAGAAATGACTTTCCATAGAGCAGTGCAGCTTAGTAGAAATATAATTGAAGTCCCAAATGCAATTTTAAATTTTTCTAGCAGCCACATTTTCAAAAGAGCAAAACCAAGCAAAGTTAGTTCTAATGATATTTTTTTAATATATTTTGTTTAACCCAAATTATTATAATGTAAACAAGTAAACAATATGAAAATTATTAATTTGATATTTGTGTACTCATTCATTTTAAGAATTCATAATGTGTTTATTTTTAATTTACAGCTCATCTCAATTATACTAGCCCCATTTCAAGTATTCAATAGCCACATGGCATTTTTTCTTCGTATAAATCACTGAAGAGACTTCTCTGTTGCCAAAGAAAGTTGTGGGTGTCAGATCATCTACCGAATGTTCTTTGAAAAAAGGTCGTTCTCATTTTTGAAATGGAAGAAGTAAATGTGAAAATAATCTTATTATTTTTCATCAGCACAAAAGGGCAGATGGTTGGGTAGCATGCTGAAATAATCCCTGCAATTCTCTGAATTCCTGGGGTTTTCTCGGGTATATAAAAAAAATAAAGGGTAATGAAGTTGTTCGCACAATGAAAGAAAACAAAGCAACTTACAAGCAAAAGGATATTGTGGGTGGCTTTGATTTCAGGAGATGGCTGGGAAGAGAGGCTGCGGCTGTGAACATGCTGGGCTCTCTGGTGGTGTTTGTAGAGTAGATTCACCATGTAGATACTGGACAACATCCTAAGGACCACAAAGAGGATATCTTTAATCAGCATGCCACTTATAAATGCCATTGAATAGTGGCGTTCCACCTGCTTAGTGTGACAGTATACTTGAGAATACCCAGGACCAACAAATGTGACATTGTGCTTGGCTCTGACAGTTTTGATGATGTGGATATAGATGAACATATTGATTATCCAGAAGAAAAGGAAAGAGGGAAAAGCACATGTAGAGATTTTAGATTTAAGCCATGCCCATTTAGAAGTACTGGGACTGATAGTGATGGCTTGAAATGCACTCAGGAGGGAAGTAGTACAGATGGAAAGACCCCGAGTAACCCTGTATGTGTACAAAGTTGCCTTACAACCAACGTCATCCAGAAAATGTCTTACTCCAAAGGATGACATGACAGTTGGTATCAAGTTGGATGTGATGGTCAAAGCATTGACCAATGTCAGGTGTATAAAAATCAAATCTATAGGCTTTTTCAAGTGAGATTGAGTTAAGAAAGTGTACATATATAACATGAAGAGCAATGAGTTCCCCATGAACCCAAAAGAAACTTGAAATATGGAGAAAAACCCATAAATCACATCACTTGGAGACATTATCTTATTAATGTTTTAATTAGGTCAACTGGGATCAAATGAAACAAAATATATTGTGAAATTATAAATAATGGATCCTGTGGAAGAATATAATGATTGACAGTTCAATATGGGGAGTGTTGAAATGGTCAACTCCTCCGTGTTTCAGACCAAGATGAGTCACTTCCAGAGACTGGATTCCAGGAATTCTTGAGAACCTTAGAGTACGGAATTCGGTTATAAAGAAGGTAAAATTTAAATGGATAATTAAAATGGAAAACGATAAAGTATACAGTGCCACTAGGAAAGGTATAGCAAATTGATCCTAAAAAGAAATAAAAGGAACTGATACAAGTAACGCAGAAATTAATAGATAACAACCTTCATATGGAAAAATAATCAAAAGTCAGTTCCTTGAAAGGAATAATAAAATTAACAAACCTATGGGAGATCATAACACTCCCCCAAAGGAAGGCGCACACAATATCAGGACTAAAAATGTTAAAGGGATAGCAGTGGAGAAGTTGCAAATATTAGAAAATAGCATGATACTATTATGAATTATGCTAATAAATTTGGAAATTTAGGAGATACGGAGGCAAATTTCTAGATGACTTAACTTCCAAAAAAAAAAAATTAGAGTAATAGAAAGTCATAAATGTGCAAGGCTCTTCATGATGAAATTGAACGGTCAGCAAAAGTCATTCCATAAGAAATCCCAAAGAATGCTTCAACGGTGAAGTATGTCAACACACAAGAAACAAGTGATATCTACAAACAACTGCTAAGGATAGAAAAAGAGAGAACAGTCCATCGTTTCTCGGCCTTTTGGCTAAGATCAAGCGTAGAGAGAACAGTCCATTAACCATTATGAGGTTAGCATAACGCTGTTAGCTAAAAGTAACAAAAACAGTAGGAAAAGTACAATGATAAGACTATTTCATGAACTTGAAAAACAATCTACACAAAATAATTGTAAAATTGCATCCACAATACATAAAAAGAATCAAGGATTTGACCAAAGTATTATCCCAAACATGGAAGGGAAGTTGAACATTTGAAACTTGATCTGTATGATGACCCGCATTAGCAGACCAAAGGAGCAGAGATATGATTACTTAATATATGCATAAGATCATGTGATCATAATCAACACATGTATATGATAAAAATTTTTGTTATATAGCAATAGAAAGGAATAACCTTACCTCAACAAACACACCTACAGTGTCAACAGTATCACATTGTTACATATTGAAATGTTTTCCTTTGAGATTGGCTATGAGTAAAAATATCTGCTATCACCACTTATTCCTCATGTTTTCGGATTTACTGCTTTATAGCAAGGACCTGGTGGTCTAGTGGTTGAGATTCAGCACTTTCACTGCTGAAGCCAGGTTTAGTCTCCAGGTCAGGGAACCACACCACCTGTCTGTTGGTTGTCACACTGTAGCGGCTGCTGTTCCTGTGATGCTGAAACCTATGCTACTGGTATATTCAAACACCAGCAGGGTCACCCATGGTGCACAGGTTTCAGCAGAGCTTCCAGACAAAGACAAACTAGGAAGAAGGACCTCGCCACCCATCAGAAAAAACTGGCCACGGAAACACTATGAATAACCACGGAGCATTGTCTGATAAAGTGCCGCAGGTGAGGGGATGGCACGGAAAGTCAGGGCCAGGTTCCCCTCTGCTGTACACAGGGTTGCTGTAGTCTGAATCCACTTGCCACACTAACAACAAATAGTAAAGAAAAAAAGTAAAATTGATAATAATAGGAAAGAAAGTAACACCATCTTTCATCATTGACAGATACTATAAATTTTAAGAAGGAAACAGATGGAATCATTGGCTAAAATATTGGAATTTTCGAGGGAGAGATTCAAGGCTACTGAAAGCAAAGTCAGTATAAAAACCATTTGCATTTCTATATGCCAGCATAAAAACAGTTTAAAAATGCAATTTAAAGAAAGAGACCATTTAAATAGCATAAAAATATGTTGAACTTAGAAATTAATATATGATAAAAATATGTGTAAAACTTCTAAGAGGAAACTGTTATAAATTATTCTCAACGTGATTAAAGCATTTTAAAAGAAAATGAATGTATGATATTTTGAGATAAATGGTATTATCTATAAAAATAAAAAGATGCTGGAAAAACAAAAGCGAGGATAGCAGGTATTAGAAAAGAGGTAATAAAATGAAACTGAGAGGAAAATTATATGAAACAAATGTCAAATAAGGTATAGAGAATAAAGAAGAGACATGAAAAAACATAAATAAAGGGAGATATTAGTCAATATATAGAATCATATGGAATTTTCAAATAGTTGTGAATAATAAAATAAAAAGTAAAAATACAATTAAGAATGTGAGATATGGTTTTCAAACGAAACAAAATTGATTGAAGACAGTGAAACAGTATAAGAGAGCTGTAAGAGAAACTAAAGAACCAGAGAGATGAAAGAATGAAGAAAGTAAAAGCAAATATATGGAGGAAAACAGAAATAGTGAAATAATATGAGAAAGGAGACAAAATATACTTCTATCAAACAGAAAATTCACAGTAGGTTAAATCTGAAAAAAATTGAAGTCTCAGTAAGGAAGCTAGAATGGGGAATGGGCATATTGAAAAGGTCTTTATACCGCCCTCTCTTTCTCAGTGCTGAATGTGGCAGAATACTTCCTAAAGGCAGTCGGCTTCCCCAAGCAAGTGAGACATCTTGGAAAGGCTGGATCAGACCCAGAAAGACTGTATATGAAGGACAGCACGGCAGGACTTCTCCTCCCAGTGGGTCACCTTGTCACCTGAGGTCTCCATGACCTTGTTTCTTGGGGATCATTTTGATGTGCCCACAGGAATAACAAATCACTCTCCCAGAGGCAGAATGATTCTCCTGGTAAATTTTATTGATTAGAAGTGGAAACTTACCATTTGAGGATGTACATTTTCCCAAGTTGATCTACATTAAAAATAAACTTTAGGATCTAGGAAAGTGATCAAAGTTAGTTTTCACTCGGCTGATGGAAATTCCCTCAGCAATTGACATAATGTGACCTCAGAGCAGCTGCTCAGAGAACAGGCTCACTTTTCCTGCTGAACCTGCTGCACCTCATGCTTTTACAGCCTGTTTTAATTGCTGCACATTCCACAAAATGCAGTCACAATGCAGCCCAGTGAATTTTACTGTAACCCAACCATTGCAAGTATCACTCAGGATTGTAACATGCGTGGTTTGCTGTGGACTCTCTCATTTTAAAATTGCTTGCCACAATATAAAGATTGAAATTGCTTCAAAAATCTTACTGTTAAATACTTACTACATAACAGATGACGCAAACTAAAAAAATAACAAAAAGAATATATAGTCATACACAACACAGCTTAATTAGTAGAATATTGCTAATAACTCTGAACACTTTCTAAAGACGTGTGCCTTTAAAATTAATATACAAAACAACTGTCATGAAGGGAGAAGCATAATGGGATCTAAATGGTGGTAAGGTTTGGTGAACTTTAATAAAAGAAACTTTAACTAAATTGGAGTCAGGAAGGCCTGTAGGGGGAGCTCTCGTGCCCTATCACACATCGTCAATTACACCCAACAGGAAGACACTGATGCCTGCGTCTTCACAGGAAGTAAAACTGCTTTACTACTGAAGCAAGATTTCTCTCCCCACCTGGCAACAGCCCAGCCAATGAGAAACACTGCAGCTCAGCCAATGAGAAATGTCACAGCTCAGCCAATGAGAAGCCATTGCTGCCCTGAACTGTTACTTCCCCCCAATGGACTTTCCTTTAGAACAGCCCCTCCCCACTCCCTTTTTTCCTCCATAAAGGCAGCTCCCCTCCTTTGTTTCCTGGATTTGCCTCTGGTTTGCCAGAGCATGCACATCTCAAATTGCAATTCTTTTGGCTATTCCTGAATAAACTCATTTTGAGGGTAAAATAACACGTGAATTTGCTTTCTAAGTTGATAGTTTCAAGGTTCCATTTTAGATAGTACAAATGATACTAGGAGACTGATTAATTCAGTATGTATATTTTAATCTCTAGTGCAATTGCTAAAATCTATACAAGAAGATATTGTAAAAAATACAATATATAAATTAAAGTGGGTTACTAAAACCAAGGTGTATTAGTAAATTATAAATTAAAATGGATTTAAAAAACACTGAAATAAAAAAGAAAGCAGGGAATGGTTAACAGGAAGGAAAAACAGTCAGAACAAACAGAAAACAAATAATGAAATGGCTGACTGAGGATAAATCCTAACATCAGTAATGATGATCAATGTAAATAGTCGAAACACAGCAATTAAAAGAAAAAGATCGCCAGAATGGATTAAACCAAAACAAAAAGACCTAATAGACCCAATCACACACTGTCTACTAAAAACTCACTTCAAATATAATGATATAACTTTATAGTTAAACGGTGAAATAAATGTACAATGCAAACACCAATCAAAAGGCAGATGGATATCCTAAGTGAAATAAGCCAGTCACAAAAGGATAAATATTCTATTATTCCATTCGAGTAGTCAAATTCATCAAAACATAAAGTGGAATTGTGGTTTCCAGGAGCTGGGGACAGGGAGGAACAGGGAGTTAGTGTTGAATGGTTACAGAGTTTCAGTTTGGCAAGATGAAAAAAGTTCTGGAGGTTGATGGTAGTGATGGTTGTACAAAGTATGAATGTACTTAATGCCATTGAAGTCTACACTTAAAAATGGTTAAAATGATAAATTCATTGTTATGTATATTTTAACACAATTTCAAAATAAATAAGCAATAAAGAAAACTGGAACAGCTATAAAATGACAGGGTCAAATGGTAGACTCTACATGTCAGGTTCTGCTTAATCTTGTGAGGTACTAAATGATGAAGGCCTCTCTCAGAGATAGCTAGATTCTCCTTGTTTTCCTCTTACTGGTTGAGTGGAGTCCATTTATCCACAATCTATGTGTTCTGTGGAGCCATTCAATGAATATATTACTCTTCAATTCCTCATGCTG